TGTAGAACAAAAGCTGGAGTTTAATTTAAGAGCAATGCTCGATCTGCTCGATAATATTAATCAGGACAACAATTGAAACATATTTGTCGTAACATTATCCAAACACAATTTTTCCAAACAGGTGGCATGTAGTAACAAGTGAGATACGCAATAGCATTGATAAAAAAATTAAATAATACTTGTCCACTACGAAACTTTGGTTTAATAATCATCTCAAAACAACACAGTACTATGATTTCAACTGATTACTTAATAAAGGGTATGATAAAAAGTTAATTAATACGGTGGGCTAGTTACAGCATGTTGGTTTTATTCACAAACATTAGTATGAGCTCTTGCGTGTTGTCACATGATGGATAGCAACTCTCATGCTACCAAATGCAACAGGCTGGGCCAGGTGACATTTACCTGTTTACATTGAGCTGTGTGTGTTGTTAAAAATAAAAACAAAACCCAAATGATTTGATCATAGTGTTTAAATTATTAACTTTATATTTACAGTATATTTTGTTTTTAGAAACTAGTTTGACCCGTGCTTAGTGTTAGGTCGAATACAGAAAAATGAATAATATAGTTTTAAACTCTACAATTCATAACAGAATTTCATTTAACTCGCTTTTATAAGGATTAACTTAGTTCGCTTGATTTCAATCAGCTCTCTGACAGTATAAAACTAAAACTTACTAAATTTGGCAATACCAATGGGCAACATGGGAAAGTAATTGTTGTATTGATGACCATGATTGATTTTATACTTTCAGGTTGAAAAGGTTTCAGAGTCTTGGTTACTAAGATCTTCTAATTTTCTAGTTTAAACAATTTGCAAATACATGCTATCCTTTTGACTTTGTGCAACAGGTATTTTGGGGTTAACAGCTAGACCTATTTATTTAACTAAATTCAGTTATTTTATAAGTTCAATAACTTATTTATAAGTTTAATAAGTTTTAAAACTATGATTGACTAGCAATCCTTGTAAATTTCAAAGAAATTGAGATTTATAAGGATGGCCTTAAACTGTGGTCAGCTAAAACAGTCTTAAATTATATTTCAATTAAAAATAAAAATACATTAGCAACAGTGTTTTTTTCGACCCTTGCTCATTTTCCGAGCTCGGGTTGAAAAGAGTCACTTTACGCCCTAGTGATGATACTATTTTATCCAGATGGGTTTTACTGTATTCATGAGTTAATATTAATATAATATTAATATATATTAATATATATTAATATAATATTAATATTCATGAGTTAATACCTAGAATAGTCTTGCTGTGACCATATTGAGTATTGAGAAGAGATATATTATTTGCTGGTTTGTAAAAGGTACATGTTGACAGGCCATAAAGCGCATTAAATATAATAGCAATTATCGTTAAAATGGAATGGCTTTGAACAACAGAGCGTGTTATTTAACAACATGTGGTGATAATAGAGACTTTGCATGACTAGTTCCAATACACTGAAAATATGACCTTTATGCTTTGAACTGTTATTCATGTAAAACGTATCCAGAAAAGCTATATTTTGGCATCATGGGGTTGGTAGAGAACTCCTTATAAAATATCTCTCAATTTTGTATCCTTTATTAAAATATTACACCCACCCTTTCTCAATAATTTTTCATGTAACAGCTTAAACGTTTTTATAAAAACTTAAAGGTTATTGTTTGATAAGGAAACAAAAGGGATTGTAACTACCCAACTAAAATACTACTCAATAAAAAATACTCAAGTTATCGCATTCACTGACATATATATATATATATATAAATCGATAGTGCATATTTATATATTTATACAAATACTAGCTGTTGTACCCGTGCTTTGCAACGGGAAGAGGACACAAAATAGAAACATTTTAATCTTTACATCAGTTGCATATAGTAATTACACATCCGCCAAAGCTTTTAGAAACAAAATTAAACTTTTATGGCCTTAATAGAAAGGTTTAAGTTATGATTTTTAAATCTCGTAAGTAGTGGATACCACCATTTTGGTTTTGATTAATTTTAAATCTTGTGTAGGCTGATATGAGAAAAACTGACCAAATTTTCGAATTAAACTTTCACATACGATTTACCTTCATCTCCCTTAATTACATATCTTTTTATTTATAATTGGCATTTTAAATTTCAATTTTGAAGTTGCAAAAATACTTATTATTAAATTTAAATGGACATTTTTTTTTTAATTTCACTCTTCTTCATAATAAATAACAAATCCTTCAATCTTCAGTTTCTTCACTCACAATAAATCATTAGCAAAACTAAGTCAGCTGTTATAAACTTTAGAAATATTCTTGTGCCTTATCAATACAGTCTTTTGAAATATTAAAGAAACTATATATATACTATAAAAAATGTTAAACAAATAATTTAGCTCTAAAGACAGCAGACAAAACTAATATGATTATCAAAGCGTCGAGGACTAAAAATGTAATAGCAAATACAGTATATGTTTCATTGCATCTCTGATTCTACTCTACAAAAATATCAACAAACAACTTAATATACAAACCAGTTCTTTTAATCAGTTCCATCATCCATTGCCTTTAAATTTTCACACTTACCATTAAGTAAACATAGGTAGTAACAGATATTTTATTGATTTTATAAACAAAAGAACACTGTGTACTGCTTAGTTTTATGATACTTTCCTTGGTTTAATTTAATCAGTGGTGTGGCAAAACACAAATAATAAATTTATCAAATAAAGTAAATGTGAACTGAAAGCTATGTTAAGATAAATAAGAGTATTTTGTATTACCATTTGATAATTTAATATAGTTACACATATACAACAGATTTTAGAACACAAAATCAATGACGTACAATTTTGTTATTGATGATATTCTTTAGTTTAATTTAAGCATAGTTTTAGCAAAAAACAATAACTAAATTTACCTAAATATACATATAAAAAACCATGTGATGTGCAAGTTATGTTAAGTTAATCTAACACATGTAAAGCAGTTCAAATTTATTTAAAATAGCCTCCAAATTCATACAAAAAATCTATAGGGATTGTAATTTTCATACTGTATCCATGAAAACATATCAATAACATTATTTTCATAACTGAGACGAAAAATCCAAAGCAGAGCCGGAGTTGATACAGCAACGGTTATAGAATTTTTTTTCTATAATCATTGACAGTTTTAGAATAAATAATCCATGATAAAAGGTTAGATTAAAATAAACCTACCTCATAGTTATGGAAAATATTATATTTAACTTCTTTGTATCAGCTGTCTGAAATTGTGAAATATGCAATTTAGCAGTTCTTCTTGTTTACATTGAATTGAATCAAATGTAAACAAACATTGTTAGTGTTCTAATCGCAGTCATGGAGACCAATCAATATTTACTTTTAAAATCCTCACCTCAGAACTGTAAAAGCCAAAGGGGCAAAGCCTACGGTCAGTATCGAAATGTGAATAGTCCTATAATGGTCCTTGGTATGTTAGCTATATTTTTGTAAAATATAAGCTTAGTTGGTTCAGTAGTTTTTGTACCTATTAGTAATACACATACAGACAGACACCATTAGATTTTTATATAATAGTATAGATATAAATTTTAACGAATAGTGTTTTTGGCCTCTGGGGACATCAAAATGAAAAAGTAAATCGGTCCCGGGCCTAGGTCTTACCATGCCACGTACCGTTATAGCTACTTCCCTATAGGGAAATTCGCTAAAAGAGCTATATTACTTTTTCTAAAATTAAACAGCAACTAATTGGCAAGTGCTGAATTGATCCTTTGTAGGATAACTAACAACCTTAACCTTCAGATTTGAAGGCCAGACCTTTTCATCACTGTACTACTCAGTCAATATTTCACTCATCCAAACCTTTTAGTTAGAGATATTTTGATAAGTTATGAAGTCTTGAATGAAATATTTTGATATTTCATTCATTTAAACTTTATTTTAGAAATATTTTGAAAAGTATTAAAATATTAATATTAATGACTTGATTGGCCAAAGTTTGAATTGAAGTTTGGTAACTTAATTTGATTATTTACTAAGCTATCAACATTTCAATAAAAAAACATTAATCATTACCTTCCCTGTAGCAGCAAACCTAAGTACCTACTCATTAAAACAAATGTTATTGAAATAGGAAAAAATCTGACAATTTTAAGGGAATATTTTAGTAGAAATCCAGTCAGGTAAATGGAAATTCTTTTAGTCTACAGGTTTGCTGCGGCCGGGGTACTCCCATTTTTCATTGAAAATTAATGCAGAAATCAATAAACTGATTAGGTTGACAGCCCCTTTTAAGCTTGCATTGGCCCGTCCACATATGGCTGTAAAGCAAGGGATGATACTACAATACAAGGGTGAACTGTAGAGATAAAAAGTAGTGGCAGATACCAGGGTCGAGTACTAGGGAAGTTGAACGTAAATCCAATTTTCATACAAATCTGTGCTGTACCGGTTTGGGATGAATACACAGTTTACACTTTTTTACTATGAAATAATGAAATGAAATAATGAGTTTATTCCTTCAAAACAAATAAATACAAAATAATACATTCACTTGGAACTACGTTGCCACATTATCAAACAAAAAATTAAACAATTATATTTACAACTTGAGTCCAGTCTCTTCACTTGAAAAATACATGTTGCCGCTCTCTGTGGCATAATGATTTACTATCATTTATGGAATGATTTGTCGTCTGATAGTATCCAAGAGACAGCTATCTGACACATTTTTGGGTTAAAATACCCACCGAGGCGGTGTCCCCATTTAAATTAATAGAGATAATGACTTGCTGTAAAATTCAATCTACTCGGTTGGTACGTTTACGTTGTGCAGGTTGAAATACAAGTAAAAGATCTCTTTTTAATTTAATCTCCATTTTTAATCTCCACTGTATAATAAACCTGTGTGTAGCCTCAAAAACCCAAACACAAAACACACCAATGTAGCAAATACCCTTAGAAGAAATAAGAACAGTAGTTGGATATTAATGTAGTGCTGAAAGCTCACCTAACGTTCTGAACACTATGGGTCTGCTCTTGTACTTCTTGCCGTCGCGCACGGCCGTCACTGTGATCTGGTACTGCGTGTCGGCCATCAGACCACTCAGCGTGACGGAATCTGAGTTGCCTGCGACTACTGCCACTACCCTGTAACTGTTCAGAACCACCTGAAGAGGCTTGTTGTGGGACTGGATTAGAAACTGGGCTAGAGACTGGGTCAGAAACTGAAATAGAGGCTGGGTTGGAGACAGGATTAAAAACTGGGTTAAAGACTGGGTCAGAAACTTAGTTAAAAATTGAAATAGAGGGTGGGATGGAGACTGGGCCAGACTGGTTGAAATCTGAATTAGAGGCTGGTTTGAAGACTGGATTAGAAACTGGGTTAGGAATTGGGTTGGAAATTGTATAGAGTGTAGATTATACGTAGGCCTACATACTGAATAGTCTCTTACCAATCATAAATGTAGGACCAGGACACTGTCTGATTAAATAATAAGTTAACGTACACATCCAATTATTCAGTCAGGGTCAGCAACTTAGTTAGAAACTGAAATAGAGGCTGGGAGACTGGGTCAGAAAGTGATTGGAAACTGAATTAGAGGCTGGGGTGAAGACTGGATTAGAAACTGGGTTAGAGATTTGGTCAAGAACTTAGTTAGAAACTGAAATAGAGGCTGGAATGGAGACTGGATTAGAAACTGGTTTAGAGATTGGGTCAAGAACTTAGTTAGAAACTGAAATAGAGGCTGGGATGAAGACTGAATTAGAAACTGGGTTAGAGATTTAGCCAGGAACTTTGTTAGAAACTGAAATAGAGGCTATGGCTTGAAGACTGGATTAGAAACTGGGCTAGGAATAAATTGTGTACAGTGTAGATTATGTACATACTGAATAGTCTCTTACCAATCGTACACATGTGGGACTAGGGCACTGTCTGATTGAATAAAAACATACATAACCAATTACTGTATTGTAGTTACTGAACTTCAGAAGACTTGACCCACCTTACAATTGGCCTCAGTGCCCAATAAGTTTCTCTTCTTTTTGCTGGATTTTACCTTTTACATAACAAGCATAACATTGTTTTCTAATATGGAATTTATAGCTGTTTATTATCAATCAAGGACACCTGCGAGTAACCGATCAAAGAGTGTTGTGAAAAGATTTTTCTGTTAAAAAAATTTATATTTTATTCTGCCTTGCATGGCTTGCAGCTTGTAGTTTTTATTTTTTTCATTTTTAGTATGCATGCATTGGTTTTGCATGTTTTATATAAATGAGATCCTGCATGTGTTTATTTCTGCATTGTTATTGTTTGACTTAGCCTATTGTCTGTACAAACTGAATGGCCTAATAAATCATTTGAATCATTTGATTATGAGCTCACGGAAAACTGTAGTTTAATTGAAAGAGTTTAATACAATTGAACATAAGTTTGGCTAGCAACATTTTTATGTAGCTGCAGTGTCAGTCCAGAGGAGACCAGTTAGGTTGGTAGGCGCAATACGGGCACCCCGGGTAAATTTACTGTCTGTGTTATGAATGCTATACGATATTTTACTTATGTCAATATATTTGTTTATAGTATTTTTCAAATATGTACAGACAAATATAGTATGTTTTTTCTCTTTTTTGGTGAAAGAGTTATAACTGATTTGAAAGTAAGAGCATATATGTCGACAGAAAAGAAATAAAATATTCTTTACTAAATTATTCAATAGAAACAAATAAAAAGCTTGAGCCAAATGAACAAAAAACAAAAAAAACATAACCTAGCTTAAGTGGAATAAAGTTGACGGGGCAAGGAAACAGTTGTGGGACAAAGCTGTATTGTTTGTCTGGCTTTAACAGATTAGCAAAGTGCTCCATGAGATTATCTCATCCCTGCATTAGCTGAGTTGTTCTCTTTATCCTCGGCAAAATGGAAAATTTCTTTTATTCGGCTCAAAGCTTTATTGGAGCACAAAGAGAGAATTGTTAACCATAACTCTGTGTGGATTAGCAAACAATCCAAATGCAAAGGGGGAAAATAAATTAAAGTCTTGAATACCTATTTTAATACTTCTTTGATTAAATTATTGCAGAAAACGAGTTCACCAGTTAAATAAAAGCTTATAGCTAATAATTGAGCCTGTATTGGAAATAGCTTTAAAAGACTCAGTGTATATTGAAAAGTTATGAAATTTGAAGGATTATTTAGAACACATTTACATATAATTTATTCATTACCCATACCAAATTCCAACCATTCCCTATCTCTTAAAGGCATACTAGACTCAAATATGCGACTTACATGGCTCTATTCACAGAAAACATACTACTATAACATACATTTTCAAAGATGAAAAATTGATTTTGCTATTGCCAGTTTTGCAGTAGGTATATATAGCCTACAGCGTGTCCATAACAACGTTTCAGGACGTTTGGAAATGAAACCTCATACTAAAAAAAAAGAAGGTTTCTGTGAAGGTACGTCCGAAAATGCATATTTACCCAAGTCATCCGCCATTTTGTTTTTTGTACAAAAATATTTTTATATGTGAAGTTTTGCATTCGATGATTATGAAATTTGGTAACCATGTTAACATACACAAGACCTATAATAGAAAAAATAATACAGTTAGTTGTTCCGATTGTAAATTTCAAAATGGCGGCCGTTTGAATTTTTTTAACTTAAATAACTCAAAAATGGCTAACTCTATGAAAAAATGTTAAGAATACTTTTTTTAGCAATTTTAATGCCCTATCAAACGATTCCAAGATAAAAAAGTCGGACAAAATATAACTAAAAAAAAAAAGGTTTTGTGTAAAAATAAGGCAAAATTAAGGGTTTCCTGACTAACTTTGCCTTATTTTGACACAAAAACGTTATATATATTTTGACCGATCTCTTTGATCTTGGTATCGTTTGATAGAAAATTAAAAATGTTAAAAAAGTATATTCTTGAAATTTTTTCATAGAATTAGCCGTTTTTGAGTTACCGTATTTAAGTTAGAAAAAATTCAAACGGCCGCCATTTTGTTTGAAATTTACAATCGGAACAACTGTATTATTTTTTCTATTATAGGTCTTGTGTATGTTAACAAGGTTACCAATTTTCATAATCCTCGAATGAAAAACTTCACAGATAAAAATATTTTTGTATAAAAACAAAATGGCGGATAGCTGGGTAAATATCCATTTTCGGACATACCTTCACATAAATTTTTTTCTTGCTTTTAGTATGAGGATTCATTTCCCAAAGTCTTGAAACGTTTTTTATGGACACCCTGTATACTGTATAGTATATCAATAATCTTTTGTGTAACTGTATCAATGACACTGACCTGGCGTCTGTTGGCTTGTAGGTAACATCATACTTCTCTACATGGTCTATGGACGTGTGCCACGACACTTTGACTGACGTTGGACTGAGGAACATTATGGTTATATTTTCTGGTGATCCTGCTGATGGCATAGACCCTGCAACACATTTACAAGGAAATATAAGTGATGTATTACCTAGAGAAGTTTTGAAGTTATGTTGGTGATTGGTTTGAGTTATTTGTTTCGTAAAGTATGGAAAATAAAAGGTAGACAATTTATGGTAGAGATGGCGGGAGTCTCATTTGAGCAACCAGCTTTATTTGATAGCTCTGTTGAAACAAACTTACCAACAAAACTTGCTCCATTGATAAGGAACAGAGTGGCCCAAAGCATGTCTGGGGAGCTACCTCTCAGGCATTGCTACGAGGTCTCGGCCACCACCTCTGAAACAACAAATATACAGTATGAATATGAAAAATCATCTCAACTCAAAATTAAGGAAAACTTAATTCAATATTTGTTTTTGAGGTAATAGTTAGTTTAGGTATGTTATTTGAAAGTTCAAAGGTAATATAGCAAATATCATACATTACCAGCATTGTAAATGTTTGCAAAGTTTCGGTATCCGGAATGTTTTTGTTCCATTATCTCACATATACTCAGTCCATTATCTCACTACACAGACAGTATACATGGCTATGTATTTTAATATGTGATTCGACGACCTCCAGCTGATGAAGTGATCATGACATCCTTTGAAACCTAAAGATGACTTCTTGATAGGCCTAGTTAAAACTAGTTGTGACTTCGTAACAATTTGGATTAAATCATAGCAGGTATTTACTCCAATTGTTAGCTATGTTAAACGTAATCCGGAGCCCACATCAATATGAAAAATAGTTAAAAACTCATGAAGAGGGGTTTATCAACTTTATTACAATACAGTATCAGGAAATACCCCTGCCACAGGGAACCTGTAGACTAAGGGCATTTCCATTTGCCTTATTAGATTTCCAATTAAATCTATTTAAATAGCATTAGGTTTAACAAGTTACAGTACCTAGGTTTGCTGAAGGGAGGTTAATAAAGTGTGTCTTAAGTAAAATTAGCTTATTATAAAATAAATAAATATGCAACGTGAGATCAAAATATATCCATAAGAATTACATGTAAATTTTTAATTAATATTGTTTTTGAATTTTCTTTGTAACCAATAACCCTACAATATACAGTATTAAATTATTGCTTCAAAATGGTTTAGAGAGAAATCCGGAAATTTTATATTTTAAGGGGAAAAAATTAGAAAATTCCATTTTTACCCCATAAAACCCCGTTCCCATGACCCAATCTCGCTGGTTTACGAACTCATCCAAGTTTATCTTGCCATACATATTCAAATCAACTTTCATCAAAATCAGACCAAGATTACTCAAGATATGGTGTTCAATTATCAAGAAAGTTCCATTACAATCTGTCGAGCGGTTTCTGAGTCCATAAAGGACAAACAAACAAACATACATTGGATGTTATATAGATAGATATAACATATATTTTATATACATATATAACAGTTGAATGAATAGTGTTGTTTTTAGTCTCTGGGGACATCAAAATGAAATAGTAAATCTGTCCTGGGCCAAGGACTTACCGTGCCAAATACGGTAATATCTAATCTATACTTCCCTATAGGGAAATTCACTAAAAAGGACAAAAAATGTGTAGCCTATGGTATGGAATCATGAATTGTAATCAAACACTTTTTGCACCATTACACTCAGTAAATGATTCCAAAACTGATAAATTATTAATGGTGTTTGACATGGAGGATTTTGGTGTTAGACCACAGTGGGTAGCTGAATACTTTATGACTAAGGATAAACAGAGAATATTTTTACTATAAAAATGACTCCAAGAGTATGGAAATAAAATATGAGGATTCTATCATCATGAGAAAACCTTTTTTTAAAGAAAACCAAGTTTTAATAAGCTTAAGTAAAATTAAAAAAATATATATTATTTTATAATATGAATCATAAAACAAAAATCATCCAGTGTACCGTTGATCCTTAAATGATGATGTGAAGAATAACAGCTTAGAGTAACGCTATGACAATCAATTTCGAAATAGTGAAATGTTATAGTTAAAAAAATTACCTATTGTAATGATTAACTCAGTTCAATGCGTTTAAGTGCTCTCGTCTAAAAAAAGTAGTTTATTTGTTTGGAATAAAAATCATGATAAATGATTTTCTGGGAATAGACTGTGCAAGTAAAAAAGTCATGAAATAAGTTTCTTTTGAATAATCAGCAAATACAGATAAAATTATTGTGAAAGTTTTATAGGTAAACAAAACACTATTTTGAATGTTTCCAAACCATGTATTGCTAAAAAAATTGTGACATAACAACGGAGTAGAAATACCTCTATAGATCTAAAAAAAAAACATTCTTGATAGAATCAAAGTTCCTAGAAACAAGCTATTTAGCAAGAAGTTATATCAAAATTCTTTATTTTCTAAGTTTCTTGACATGACAACTAGAAGAATCCATTACTGCTTTTTGTTCATATAACAAAACGAGATGGAAAATGATGAGAATTAACTTATAAAGATGAACAATATGGAAGTGTTTTATTGCAAACTAGGGGGACTATAACACAAAATTTAGTTCATCACACATACCAAAAGGTCTTTTCGACCCTTGCACATTTTCTAACATAGGATTTGCCATGCTTGAGTGAGAGTCTTAAACCTTACTTTAGTCCATATAAACTACTAAAATCCACTAGCCAAAGTAATGTTTGGTAATGTTGTAAAATTATACAAATCAAAATTACCTTAAAAGTAAAGCAGTTAACTTAGCACCCACCGCTCAACATCCTAAGACGAAGCCCCGGTGGTTGGAAGTCTTACAACGGCAAATATTCACTTTTCCGCTTGGCCGGTATACAGTGGCAATTGCCGAAGCTAATGTGCGAACAACTTCAAACAATAGTTATGTTCCAATAAATTCAACAACATTGCATCAATCCTCAGTGGACCGTTTTCATTCAGTCACGTTCGGCAAGTCAAGTTGTTGAGCATAACATAACATTGGCAAAGGGCATAAAGAGCAATTTTCAGTTTTAAATCTAAACCCATGATCTCTGGACCATTTACAAATCTTTGAAGGGCCATTGACATTCATTAAGCTGCAACGTCTCTTCATCAAGAGTAGGCCTGGCTAGAACAATTTGGTAGTAATCTGCATACGAATGCATAGATCTACAAATTAATGTTGATCACTACGACACAGAAGTTAAACACTGCGTTTCACTCTGTTTGAAGCTTTTAATATGGATTATTACGTCCTTCACAGTTAAATAACAAATATCTGAATTAGACGTAAACTCAAGTTTTTCATCTACTTTTGGGAGTTTTGTAAATCAACATTCTTTCAATTATAATAAGATTTTAACACCAATAAGGGGAAAATAGTCATACGCACTTATTTACTACAAAAGGCAATCAATGAAATGATTTAACAGATTCTCTAGTAAGCTGTTCAATACAGAACCAGTGTTAGTACAGGTAAAATTATACTAAAAAACCATTAGAAAACATAAAAATTAGTCCATTCATGAAACTTGCAGGAAACGTAGTAATTACCATTAGGTTTTAAAATCTGAAGAGTCCCTAGTGATTGTGGGGGTGGAAGTACCATTTTATGGGGGTTAAAGTTTATGGGGGTAGTGATTTTGAGAAAATTTTTATTTACGGGATCCAAGCAAGTGAGGTGTCGTTTTCTATGTTTCTTAGGATGCAGAATCGAAAAAGAACATAATAAAAGCAATACAACCGACGGTTTATTAGAAAAAGACTAATTTATTAATGAAAAACTAAATATGACAAATTAATTAAGGTAAAATAACCCAGTTAATATCAATTATTACAAAACTGACCATGAGTCTGTGTCACATGTTAAAGTTGTGAGGAAAATTAACCAAGAAACTGGTAAAAAAAATTTTCTCAAAATCACTACCCCCATAAACTTTAACCCCCATAAAATGGTACCTCCACCCCCACAATCACTAGGGACTCTTCAGATTTCAAAACCTAATGGTAATTACTACGTTTCCTGCAAGTTTCATGAATGGACTAATTTTTATGTTTTCTTAGGTGAGTTTTACCTGTACTATGTTGATAAATCCAGATTGTTTCAGTGGTTTATTTATAAACAATGCTAACTGCTTCACACACAACTTCAAATTGAATGTGGCTTTAGAATGTGAACTTTGTAATTACAGTTGGGCAAAGTTGTTGACTGTCTGAATTATACCGGAGAAACAAATTAATCCACGTCCTAAATGTGAGGGGTTGATAAAATATTGTAAATCAAATTATAATATTCTTTATTCTGTCAAGTAAAAATGATTTTTAAAACATCACTTGAATTTCTTTTCAAAAATTTCAAACACCTGTTTTGCTGCATAACCAAATTGGTAACAGTGCTATGAAACCGTTCCATTTCAGTGTTTAAATGTTCGGTTGATTTAACAAACAGAAAGCCGCAAACAGAGTAGTAAATAGTGCGGTCGCTGCAAACAGAATTTGTAATTAGTCAGGTCAAAGTTTGGGCAAATGAGGTCAATTTACAGCTCAAAACATCGAGTACACTGTTCCAACCGATATTGTTACTGCACTTTAGGAAGAATAACCTAAATCATTCGTTTTGTTGAAAACTGATATTGCAAAACCTATCTGACTCAATTCTGTCCAGCCCTATTATAGAACACGTAAAACAAACCATAAATAATGCTATGAGAATAAAGCAAATTACTCAATCGGTTTTTGCACTTGCAATTAATTGCAATTGCAATCCACTCCAACGTATGAAGATGGATCATGTTTACATATAGCCTCCACGAACACCACGCCAAAACAATTTTTACCATTGGGGGTTTACGAGACGCAGTGTGTATAAAAAGAATCCTCTAGAAGTTCAACCGTCCAACTCCTCAAGTTTTAAAAACAGGGCTGACTTATCTGTTGCAAATGGTAATAATGCAACTCAAATATCGGGTCTTGTTTTTGCTCCAAATAGTCATAACAAAATCCATTTCAGTTCCACTTTCCATTGATGTAAGGGAGGGTTAAAGATTCTATATTCTTAAGATATACCACGTATTAAAGATATTCTGAAATAACACAGTTATATAAATTCAAATGTATTTTTTAAATTGAGAATTTACTGCACATTGACGTCTGCTGTAGAATAAATAATAATCCTACTAATATTATAAATGAGAAAGTTTGGATGTATGGAACCGTATGTTTGTGACAAGTAAACACGAAAAATACTGGTCGGATTGGGCTGAAATTTGGCATGATGATAGCTCACATTCCCGATTAACATATAGGCATATTCTTATCTCAAAAATCCTTTTGGGCTCCGCCCCAGTGGC